CCCAGATGAAAGGCAGAGTCTGTGCCTTGTTTGCTGGTTGAGAACTTGGAGCTGATGGGAACCTGCCCACAGGCAGTGTCATGGAGCAGACATGTGACTGGTCCCTCAAGGGATTGATGAGGGCTGGACACAGGCTGTGTGGGCAGGAGTCACACACCTTCTTGCGACACAGACAACAGATGTGCCAGAGCAGCAACAGGAACAGGAGCAGGGCCGGGATGAGCCAAGACAAGAAGAGAGGGTTGGCACAGAAGATGAAGCAGGTGGGTGGGGTAGGCGCTGGTGGGGTAAGAGCCGCCTGGGGAGAGGCCCCCGGGAGTGGTAGCATCGGGGGAGGCTGCTGGGAGACTGTTGGAAGGCTTGCTCCTGACCCATGTGCCTAAAGAAAGAACACACGGCAGAGTCCTGGTTTGGACCTGGGTGACAGCCTCCCCTGCAACTCAGATCCCATCCCAGATCTCCCCGTCTGCCCAGTCCCCCTTCGACTTGGGTTGCCCTATCTGAGGAGAAAGATTTGAAGAAGTTAGGGCTGGTATCCAGAGAGCCCTTCTGGAATAAGCTCAGGCCCTGTGGTCTCCTCCTCTAAGATAAGCTCTGGCAGTGTGGTTTTCTCCTCTGGGATAAGCTCAGGGCCTGTGGTCACCTATCTGGGATGAGCTCAGGCCCTGTGGTCTTCTCTTCTGGGATTAACTCAGGCCCTGTGGTCTTTGCTTTTGGGATAAGGTCTGGCCATGTGGACTTCTCATCTGGGATAAGCTCCAGCCCTAGGTCTTCTCCTCTGGGATAAGATCAGGCCCTTTGGATACCTCCTCTGTGGTAAGCTCAGGTCCTATGTTCTCCTCTGGGACAATGTCCGGCCATAGGTCTTCTTCTCTGGGATAAGCTCCAGCCCTGTGGTCTTCTCTGGGGTAAGCTCAGGCCAGTGGTCACCTCCTATGGGATAAGCTCAGGCCCTGTGTTCTTCTCCTCTGAGATAAGTTCAGACCCAGTTGTCTTCTCTGGGATAAGCTCAGGCCCAGTGGTCTTCTCCTCTGAGATAAGATCTGGCTGTGTTGTCTTATCCTCTGTGATAAACTCTGGCCCTGTGGTCTTCTCCTCTGGGATTAGCTCAGGCCCTGTGGTCTCCCCTGGGAGAAGCTCAGGTCCTTTGGTCTCCTCCTCTGGGATAATCTCAGGCCCTATGTCTTCTCCTCGAGAATAAGCCCTGGCCTTGTGGTCTTCTCCTCTGAGATAAACTCAGGCCCTGCATTCTTCTCCTCTGTGATAAGCTCATGCCCGTTGTCACCTCTTCTGAAATAAGCTCAGGCCCTGTGGTCATCTCCTCTCGGATAAGCTCAGGCCCTGTGGTCTTCTCCTCTGGGATATACTAAGGCACTGTGGTCTCTTCCTCTGTGACAACCATAGTCACTGTGGTCGTGGTTATGACAACATTAGTCACTGTGGTCATCATGGTGGCAGCCTTCAGCACTTTGGTCCTCACTGTGACAACTGTAGGCACTGTGATCATCATGATGACACCTTTGGGCACTGTGATCATCGCTGATCCAGGGATGTTCTCTGAAGGCTCATTCTGCAGAAGGCACAGGTGTCAGATTCCTGGGGCTGCTCTTGATGATTTCTTCCCAGGTGCCCACCAACTGTTTCCCATGGCTGATTTCTCCCATCAGCTCACTCTCCCTTCTCCTTAAGTTACCTCATCTAGAGGGACCACAGTGGGGCTGGGAAGTCAGGGGTGGTACCCAGAGAGCCCCTCTGGAGCCCTGGTCCACGGACCCCATGGCTGCCCCTGCTCAGCAGCTCCCCGCATGGCCCTGTCAAGGAGGTTCAGTCCTCCAGGCAGTGACAACCAAACCCTCACTGTCTGCCTAGTATGACATACAGGGGTTCTGTGAGGACCACAAAGAGCTGTGACACACAGATGGGTGAGGGAGGGGCAGCTGGGGCCCCCTAAGAAGTGGGGGTGCAAGAACACAGCCAGGAGACCCTGATCACATCTCTGGAGCCTCTCTCCCCTACTTCTCCGCAATCTTGGGCAAAATGACTCCATCTCTCTGAGCCTCTGTCCCCACATCTGCAGTGAGGAAATGGCAGGCAGCTGAGAGCGTCAGACAGGTTACAGACAGTCCCAGCACAGGCCAGGCCCACATGGGGGCTTACGGAATGGGATCTGTTCTCGTGCTGTTGTTCATAACCACGGGCACGTGTGCTGCATCTGAGCACCTGTGCACTGCACAACCCTTCCCTAAGTCAAGTGTTCTGCTTGAGAGAAGCAGGGCAGGGAAGGGGGAGAGAGAGCCTGTGCCCAGGAAACAGGGTGGCCGAAAGGAGAGGCCCAGTCAGGCTGAGGGGACCCTGTGCTGGGATAGGCTGCTCCTGAGTTCTCTCCTAAATGTGCCTGCGGACGGGCGGCTGCAGGGAGGGGGACCCTGGTGGGAAATGTGTAGGTTCAGTCTCTGATCCATGGGGGGATGTGCAGGGACAAGGGAGACAGACACAGGGAGACAGTCACATGGTTGTCACCCTCACCAGCTTGTACTGGACACCAAGGTGGTGGCTACTCAGCACAGGCGTCCCTCCTCCAGGGGAAACTTCACTCCAGCCTAACGCTCTCTGTGGCCCGTGTCCAGCAGCCCCAGGCTAAGGTGTCCAGCTGATGTGGAGCTTGGAAAAGCAGGTCTTAGGGGAGCAGCCCTTTGTTCCCAGCTTCCTCTCCCCAGGATGAACCCCTGCCCTCCACACGGCCTTGACAGCTTCCCCATCAACAGAGGAGTCTCCCTGCAGAGACCAGAGCGAGTCAGGGGAGAGGAACGGCTGAGGAGCACGAGAAAGGAGGAGAGGCAGAGGGAAGCTGATGACATCTGCAAAGTGACAGCCGGTGTCCCCAGACAGGCTCAGGAGGCGGGAGCTCTGGTGGTCAGGAGTGGGTTCAGAGCCCTGCCAGCTGCCTCAGCCACACCAGTAACAGTCCCTGACTGGGCTCAGCCACAGCTGGTCAAGTCCTCCCAACCCCTGTGCCCAAGACCGCAATTTGGAGGGCTCGAGTGTCCCAGAGGTCCTGTACTC